CCACACCCCGACCCACCTGTCTCTTCCACTGTCGTTGGTTGGATCAATTGTATTGCCTGAGCTTGCCTCTGCCAGCAGAGTAAATAGTTAATGATTTGGGTCATCGTTGCCCGGACAACATAGGCACGCAACATTACAACATTTACGTGAATAGATGCTTAAGGTTTCCATTGACTGAGACAGTGAAGTATAGTTTCTTACAAGTAGTCATGTATGTTTTGAAGTGCATCTGATACATGACAAACAGTTGTAAATGTATTTCTGAATATACCACATCCTGGGCTGCTATTTGAGACGCAGTCACAATTGACAATTTCTATACTGGTATCAGGCTGCTATAATTAGAACTCCTGTTTGAGCATGATAAATACATTTGTGTGTATTGTACAGAGGACCTTCACTTATATGAATAAATGCATTCAGTGTAAGGTTCTTACTCATTAAGCCATTTTGTTCTTGATTGTGAGATTTGCATTTCATTTTTTGCATAAGATATGTGTTCCATCTCCTGGACTATGCAAGGGCGTTTATTAAATTTTAGAATTTGGATTCTGTACTGAAGATTCTTTGGTACAGTGTAAACACTTTTTTCCATGAAGCTAACACACACTGTGTATACATCAGAAATTATTTGATGAAAGTCAAAAAATGTATATGTATCTTTATTTATTTGAAGCAGTTTTGAGTTGGTATGTATTTAACCAAATACATGAAAAAACATGTGTTTCAGAGAAATATATATTTAATTTGTAGGTATTCTTTATATTTTAGTGCTTGCGAAGAAGACCTTATAGGCGCAGTCTGTCTGTCACTTCTTTGGGGCAAGAAGATTTTACTGCCACCTCTCAGTTGTCATATGAAGTATTTATGCTGCCATCTATTAGTGACCATAAGAACTTTTGATGACTGAAATGCTGGTGGTGATTATTATGTGATGATGGTTGTTTGATGATAATTTATATTTAATTTGTTTAGTTTTTTTTAACTTTGGGAATTTTGAATGTGCATTGTAGAATCTCTACTGTCAGCTGTTGTTGAATATGCATTGTAGAATGTTCACTACTTTGGCTATTGTAAACAATAGCTTTGTATCTGTATTGAACATTAAGGCCAATGAGAGATGCAGAATTGCAAATAATAATGCAGAAACGCTGTGCACTCCATTCTGAAGTTATATAATAACAAGTTATTGGGAACAACTAATGAGATTACCCTTTTTATTTTATTTTTAGATTTTAGGTTAAGATAACACTTTTCAGTAATGGATGCATTAATTTGAATTGTCTTACTTATGGTGTGGGCTGGATTTGTTTGTGTGCAACAGTCAATAAACATGATTCATAACTGTTTAGGTTTGGATATTCCTATGTGAAGGCTGACTTTTACATTTGTTATGTGCATAGTTAGCTAAGACATGTTTTTGTTATGAAATCACCCATAGAAATCTTCACGTTACATTTCTTTAATTGAAAACTATTTTTGGCTTTATTTGCATTGATATTTTTTCACATCACTAAATTATTCACAATATAGGGTTATTCATAATTCCGTGACACATTACAAAATGTCGATAGACTTGAATGGTGCAATGGATGGTAACATAGGACATGCCGATAGAAAGAGAAACTCTCCAAGTTTATTTTACACACCTCATAAATGCTCTGTGTGTCCGCCCTTTGTGACGCGGCAGACGTCAAGCCTATAATCCATTTCCGTCCATACGCGCTGCAGCATGTCACGATCGATTTGTGAGATGGAAGCGATGATACGTCTTCGTAGCTCAGGCAGATCCCGTGGCAGTGGCGGTGCAAAGACCTGGTCCTTAACCTACCCCCATAAGAAAAAAATCACACGGCGTCAGGTCAGGTGATCGGGGTGGCCAACGAAGCAGTGAATTGTCATTGGAAGCCATGCGTCCGATCCAACGTTGTGGTAAATGCTGATTGAGATAGCCGCGGACGAGGCTGTTGTAGTGTGGCGAAGCCCCATCTTGCTGATAAATTAAGTCTGCTGTGATCATGAAGCTGCGGCATTAGCCATTCCTACACCATCTCAAAATAGGCACATCGTGTCTGTTTACCTTCCCTTAAACGTGAAACGTAGCTACGTCGCTGAAAATAAGTTTTTCAGCAAAACTATCTTCCTCCAAGTGCTGCTATAAACTTGGAGAGTTTCTGTCTCTGTCGGCATGTCGCATGTTACCATCCTTTGCACCATTCAAGTCTGGCGAATTTTTGTAATGTGTTAGGGAATTATGAATAACCCTGTATTGTGCTGTAGAGAACAGTAGTCTGTAGCAGAAATGTATGAAAAACAGTCTATTTAGTGGCCCCATTTTAGTAAAGGGTGATCTGTATTTTTTGAACAGAATCTCAAAGGTAGAAATTGCTAACAATTTTCCAAACAATTTTAGCTCAGAGTTATGCGTCGTATAATATTTGAAGATTTGTTTATTTTCTCCTGAATACCGAATGTGAGATATTGTGGTTTATCAACTGCTGTTGTCATGGTCTTGTTGACATTATATTGTATTTGTGTGATATTCTCAGTGGTTGAAACATTCATCTGAATAAGATGAACAAAAACATATTTCACATTTCTGTAGAGAGAGAGGAAAATTAATCCTACCAAAATGGTAAACGTAAAGCTGTCCTATTACATGCCATGAAGACACTTGGTTGGGTGGGGGGTGGGGGTGTAGCTGGTACTTATTCTCGACTTCAGCACTAGACGGGGGTGAGTGGTCATTGGCATGCCCTGGCTGCACTTTACCCTCAGCACTAGATGGGGGTGAGTGGTCACTGGCATGCCCTGACTGCACTTTACCTCTAGAAGTGGGTGACCCCAAGAGCCAGTGTAGATGCAGAGGCTAGAGGACAAATCTGCTGCTTCTGAGGATTTGACACCAGTCCTTAAAATATATAACATCTGTGTCCTTTCATATTATTCCTGCCCACTGGTCATCATTTTCCTGTAATTTCTCATTCGTTTTTATATAACCTGTCATGCACTAGATACAACATTATTAAATACCCTACCCCAAAATTTATGAACCTACTTAAGTGGGAGTAATATATATATATTGTTCCTGGCCCTTTCATTATTACAATTTATTTCAGTTGCTCTGTGATGAAAGCTATGTTAGGTAGTGTTTATTTACGTTTCAGTGACATGCTCATATAAATTAAAGTGTGTGGGATAAAGGCTTCACATTTGATGTAGTACAAGATCTGTTTTAATATTATTCTTCTATATCTAGCTAAGTCTTTCAGTAGACACTTTCCAAGAGATACATCCAGAATTCTGTTTGCCTTTCTTGTTTCATGAATGGTTTGTAATAGCTCTTTATATTTTCTGTGCATTTTCTGAATGTGTTTTGAATTTAATATTATGCCCTTTCATTGTCTGAACTTACCATTTGTGACAAGTGATTTCAGAAATGTCCTCATATATTTGTTATATTTTTTTAATACTACTTGTTTTTATAAACTGTGTGTAAACACCAATTTGGCAGACAGTTTTCTTGTCAGAAGACTGATGTGTCTGTCTGTTTACATTTCCGTTACTGGAATATTTGCCTACAAGTTATGTTTTTTGTGGAATTGACAAATAGTGAAGTCATTATAATAGTCCAAACACTTCTCCTACGTTACTAAGACGTTTTATCTTCTAATATGATATCTTATGTCATCTACCCAATAATACTTGCGTTTAATTACCGTTCTGTTTCCTATTATCGAATGAAAGAAGGTGCGTGTAAAGTATTGATCACAGTGTTTGTCCTGTGAAAATACTTCAAAATTATTTTTACAATCTGTATAAAAATTAGTGAAAATGTATGTTTTGACTGTTCATAAATTCCTACACTCTGTCATCATTTAATTACATTCTTAAGTTAATTAATGACACTTTCTGAACTCATGGTTTCCACGGTATTGAACGACTAGATGTTTTCTTGGGAAATATGTGGAAGTGGCTTTGGCATATTTGTAATACTATTCCAGTTCCAGAATTCCTTTGGAAGTACTTGCGATAACCATTAAAAACACTGTCAGGAGAGTCAGTCTGTGGGCCAAGATTTGAACCATGTACGTGTCAGATATTAAGCAGGAGCGCTAAAAAATCTTTCATTATGTTTGGGTATCCCTGTATTGAACTGACTTTATATTTAGAATTATCTACTGATCATGATACCATTAGTATTGCCATGTAACAGAAACTTTTATAACTTGAACTACAAAGTTAACTATGCTCTTTGAGGATAACTGTATTATACATCACAAAACCTTGTGCATAAATTATGAGGTTGCACACATAGCTTAGCATACCACCCAACTAAATTCACTTGCTCAGTGTCTGATGCGTTATACTATGTAACCAAAGTATGATATTCATGGATAATTTCAAAATTTCTTTCCAAGAATCAACCTTTCTGGTCACAAGTCATTTCTGATCACAGAACTTGAGCCAGTACTTCTCTTGGAACTTATTGTAAATACCCAACTTTATTTTTACCTGAGACATGTAAACGTAGCCTTAAAATAGGCCAATGATGTGTTCTTCCAGTATTTCACAATTTGCTACACCAAAAGATTTGGAATGAAAGATGATTTTCTTTGTGCTCTGTGAAACAGGGTTTTACAAATTTGGCACCAAGGAATTTTAAATGAGAAGTAACATGATTGTCATTTTTTAGGAAGTACCTAATTCAAATCTTGGCCAGGACACTTGCTAAGTTACATAAATTGATTGTGGCGGTAATAATATGGCTGTAGTTGGCTGCCACTGACATTGGCATCTTCCATTGCCCAGATGCATCTAACTCTATAGAGCATAGTCCCTGAGAAGCAAATAGTACATTTGGGTACTCAATAAATCCCCCCCCCCTTTCCAACACAGTTTTATGGAACCTGAAGCTTCATTACCATTTTCACAAGAACCTGTCAGTGGTTCCTATCCTGTGCCATATGAATCCCCTCTACACTCTCTAATCATATTTCCCCCAAGGTCCATTTTAATATTATCCTCCCATGAATGCCTAGGTCTTCCAAGTGGTTCTTTCCTTTAGGCTTTCCAACTAAAATTTTATATGCTTTTCTTATCTCCCCTGAGTGCACTACGTGCTTAAACCATCTTACCCTCCTTTATTTGATAATCATCATAATAATATTTTATGAGGAATACAAATTACGAAGAGCCTCCTATCACTGACACTTGTCTCATATTAAAAAGTAGTGTATGGTCACTAAATTAGGTAAGATAAAATGTGCAGATTATGTTGTGCACAAGTTGGAAAAAAAAATCATTAATAATCTCTATAGGAACATCTGACAAGAAAAATAAACATAGGTTAAATGTAGATAAAATTAAAATAGATCTTGGATAGGTGGGTTATGAACATGTAAACTGTATTGATCTGGCTGATGATATACTCCAAACACAGGTTTCAAAGCAGCTAGGAAATAGATGAAAAAATTGATTAGCCATCAGTTTCTCAAGAAGTCAATCGCTTGGTTTCTGCAAAAATCTGAAGAAACCGTGGTCTTGTAATTCAGTCCTGCAACTTTTTATGGAAATGTATTTGGGAGTTCTGAAGCCTTTCTGTGGGATCCCAGTCCCTATTGTAATGTACTAAGTAACTTTGTTTACTCACCAATACCTGTTATGCTGAGTAGAATGGACTGGTGTATTCACACGACGTGTCATGCAGGAGTGAAGTGTTGATTGTGTCACATGAATACTGTCATGTGCTCTACATTTGTTGGATATTGATCACATGCCCACACACAACATTCATAACTCTATTTCAGGCTGAGGCATCATTTTAATGAACACCCCTCGAATATATTCAGGGAGATCCCTTTACTGACTGTGTTGAGTTACTTTTCCCAAAGAATTTAAGAGTTCTATTATATATCTTTCTTTATACAATTTGTGCCTGTCGCTTAATATACAATACATACACAGGTTTGTATCAGTCACAAATCCCAGGTGTTACATATCTGTTTCTCCCACAGAAAAATTTCCAAGTATTTCTACAACATCAAACATCAAACTTGTTTATTTTAAAGAGCATTGCATGTTCAATTTTTTTTATATTATGCATTGAACCCACACAGACTGCATATAGGTGTTCCAAAACTGTCCTGTTGTCAGTAAGTTGGCAATTCCCTGTCTCATTCATAATTTTCATGAGCTGGTAGTGTCAGTGACAAGAGGAGATTGCTAACTTTCAATTTCTTTCGCTAATCTAAATGTCACAAAGTTATAGATAATTCTGATAAAGTTAAAATATATTTATAGAACAAACAACTTCTCAGTTGTCCTGTATGCATGCTTCTGAGCATGTATGCAGCATTTATTGAGCCACTGGCATGATTGTTGTTTATGTTTGTCATGGTAACCAGTAGCGGTGGACTGAAAAATCAATATCAGCATTATTACTAGGGACATTGCTTACATATATAAGAGTTTCTGAACGGTGATCGTTTTATGGGAATAGAAGTATTACTATAATACAGAATTGTATATAGTAAGCATAGATTTAACTATAAGTATTGATGAACTCATGAATGCCTTAGGTTTGCAGGTGATGAACTGTGTAGTCACCTAATTCCACTTAATTTACATCTTTTCTGCATTAACTGTCAGTACAATGTGTAGTCAAAAAGGGAGTTGTTATTGTGTCTTATGTTATGCAGTTCTCCTCAGTCACACCACATGAAATATTGCATGCAGTAAACCTCATCCTTAATTTGTATTGGTTAAAATTTTAACTGTTGTGGGATTTTTCCCCCTCTGGTATGGTCCCATCTTTGTAGGTGAATGCTGAAATTCTTATTTAACAATGCTGTTTCATATGTAGACACTATGTGTTCCTAATGTCGAATCGGATGTGACGATCTTTAATGGTGGATAGATAAGGATATGTAATGCAGTTGTCATGGCCTGTTAGAAGATACTATCACAACATTTCGATGAAAAAAATTAATAAAACCATAAACAAGCTTTTCTAGATTAGCTGATAGCCTAGTTGAGATTTGAGCTGGGTTTCTTTTGTACAGTTTATATTTTTCTCAGTTTCATTTCAATATAATCCACTTCTTGGTTTTCCAAGTGACAGTTCTACATCAAAATTCCTTGTGCGCTCTCTTGTTCCTCCATCTATATGCCCAGCCCATCACGATGTCCTTCATTTGACTGTCCTAACACATCATAAAAATTATTTGTCCCTGTAGCAGAATGGTCAGAGTTCGGGATGGGACGTTTCTCCTTATCACCCAGCCTTACAGCCAATGATTTACTGAACATCCTTTTGCGAAGTTAATTGTATTTTTTTTTAAGAGAAGGGAACATGGAAAAGTATTCAGTAAGTGGGTTCTATGTGTTAAGCTTTCTTTTGCGTTAAGAGCACGAGTAAACATGTAGGAAAGTTATTATGTTAGTATGTTTTGAGAATTGCTGAAGTATTTCAAATAAACTTTATATTCAGGAATTCTACTAAAATCTTGTCAACCATCTCTAATTTTGGTTTAAATCAGACAACAATAATAATAAGTAATGACCATTTCACGTAAAGATCTTTATCAGGGGTTCTTAATCTGTGACCTGCAAGTCACATGCTGTGCCCCAGTACCCAATTACATTTTTAAGTGCTCTTCATACTCTGGTGTGAATAAAGAATGTGTTATAGGCCACTCCATGTCGGTCTGTCGCGTTCTCGTGTGGGATTAGGCAACCTGCGTGACCAGTGGTTGGTGTTTGACAACAATGGAAATCCTTGGTTCGTGTTGTTAGAAAAAAATTATTGTTAACAATGGAAAGAGAAGACATTGCTGGAGCACTGAATATGAGTGTGTTACATAGAGCACATCTTTCTAATATAATCTTTTTTATAACAAGCCTGTGTCAACCTGAATGACGAATAATGCTTCTTTAATGTCAGAAAACATATTTTGTTAATATTATCAGTAATTGGCAGTACCTGTCATTGTGAATGGCTGTTCAGCTTGAGATTTGAAGTTTTCTCACAGCAACGAAGACGCGAGTCAGTAAGAAAATTGTGAATTTTTCACATGGCCCTGAAAATAATGAGAACCCCTGATCTACCTGCATTTTAAAACGTGACACCTCACAAGAATCTTGCTAATTAATCACCGAAGGGAAACTATTTAGTTTGGGTTCGTATCAGTCTAAAAAATTTAATACCTACTTTACACGAGACCCAAGTCAAACGTTTATCACTTTCCGTAATACCTGCTATTGTACAAAAGCATTTGCTATATGAGGTTTAATATGCAGTTAATTAAAATCTCCAGTTGTTATTTGAAACATTTACAGGTGTGATCTGTATTTAACAAAATACAAGCGGAATATGAAATGTAATGTAATTAGCTTTTCGACAAATTTGTATCTCATTAATGGATTTTCATCTGCAGTTACAACATTAAGGACATACTCAAAATTGCGGTGAACTTTCCACTTCATTTTATAGTTGTCTGAACTTTCCTTTGAATGAATTTTTATCAATAAACTTGTATGAATGTTGCCATAATTTGTTCTCTTTTATATTTTACAATTTGGCATTACAGAGCGCATTTACCTAATGAAAATAAAATAAATTACGAAATATAAATAAATACGTATAAACCTCTTTTGGACTGCTTGTTGTGTCTGTGTATTCAACTTGCGCAAGTATTCTGTTGGTAATCTATCCTGAATCCTCTTCCGTTGGTGTTGGAATTAGTTCGAACAGGAATTATAAATGGGCCATTAGAGATGTCTGAAAATAGATGAGAACAGTTGTCATTATGTAGGATTTCAGGTTTTCACAGCGGTGAGTCTGAAGATGGCTGTCTTCTGAGTTGTAGTGCCATGTAGTCTGGTAGAATCAGGAAGGGAAAGAACATGAAAGATTTTATATATAGAGAGAGGGAAAGGGGGGAGGGAGGCAGAATCAAATTGTCTTTTGAACACTGTTGATGTTAATAGTTAGCAGTTAGCCACAGGTAGATCATAATGTGCAAGGCAGTGTTTTTGATAATTCTGTTGCCAGCTGTTCTTAAAATTTGGGCATGCGTTCCTCAATGTGACTAAAATTATTTGACTGAAACAGCCGTTCATTATTCCTTGCAATTGGAAGTGACTTTTCAGGTAGGCAAATTTGAAAAATTCAGTGCCTTATGATCATTTACTTTAATTTTATGATCTATGCAAGGCATAATTTTGGCCCACCAATGGGTTGGTTGGTTGCTTATGCTCTCTAAAACAATACATAGACAACATATGAGGGTGAAAATGTATTTTTTTAGGTCAAGAATAAAATACATGAGTCAATTGAATAAAAATTTCCTTGGATATTATCCATCGTCTAGTAAATATAAAACGTAAAACGACGTTTCGGAGATGGGACTCTATCTCCGTCTTCAGGTTCCTACACAGTTGGGCCCACTAGATAGAGCTAATCCCTATCTCCGGACAAAGTAGATAGAGTCCCATCTCCGAAACGTCGTTTTACGTTTTATATTTACCAGACGATGGATAATATCCAAGGAAATTTTTATTCAATTGACTCTTCACCATCGTCAAGAAGTTTTAGATTTGATATAAAATACATGCTTTCAGAATTCTGGTTGGGAATTACTTGGAGGGTGACTTCTTGGGAGGCCTGGGAGGATAATATTAAAATAGAACTTAAAGAAATAACATGGGTTAGTGAGTTACTTATTTAAAGTTATTTATATAATTGCAGGCTACTTACCAATCACTGGGTAATTCCTTGTGAAGTCAATTTGCACTGATGCATCATTTAGCCTCTCACCACATAACCGCATCCCATTAATTACAATATAATCATCAGGACAGTTGTACACCTCTGCCCCCGCTTGACCTGGCGAGATAAGTGGCTGTCCATCTGCAAAGTAGTATTTCATGTTTACATAGTAAAATCTTGTCGTTACTTTTCGTAAGTGCTTAAAATGAATTCATTATCGTGAGTTCATTTTGTCCACATCTATATTTGCATGTTTTATCTCCGTAACCGTGCAAACAGATGTCTGTAAATTACTAAGTGTTGTTGAGAAAGTTTCTTTTTTTTTTGTCTATATTGATCCAATATAACCTCTACTTTGCGTGAAGCTCAAATTAAACTTTATCTATTTTCTTAAAAACAGAACACTACACATTAACGCCTGTCATGATTAAAATGATAAAACCAATGTCAGTATTAAATTTTTTACAGCCATGTCCTTGTTGATGTAGCTGATGCCCTGCTTGAAATATCATCTGTTGTGGTCCTTTGATGAGTATTTGTCGCAGACATTACTTACGTCCTGACGTTTTGTTACCAGGCAATGTGTTGTTGTCTTATTTGATGAATCCTTATCAGTATACACATTGCTAAATGCTTCAAAAACAGCATTATACTATTTCAGTGCAAAGTATTTTTAAAGAATGAACACACATTCTGTCTGTTGACACCTGCACAGCATTTGCATAACTGGCATAAGAAGCGAGCTTGGTACAAAGGGTGCGTGAGCCCCTGATTTCATTTTTATACTGTTTAAACGGTACAAACATTATTTTGGAATTATGCGGCAGTCATACTTGGGTTATAATTTTTTTTATACATGTGCCTCTACCCTGGTCCTGAAAGTCGTAAAGTATGATTAGATTATTATTCTATGTTAAACACATTATACATTTTTTGTAACTTGTTCTAAAGGTAATGACTATAGCAGGCTTACACAAAATATATTTTCATATGTAAGACTTGAGGTTCTCACAGCTATGAGACGATGAATATGCATATTCATCGTCCTGATGACGGAGGCAGTATGACCTCTGAAACGTCGGTTAACATCGACCAGACTACCCAGCGCAACAACCCAGAAGACAGAAATCTTCATACTCTGATGACGGAGGCAGTATGACCTCTGAAACGTCGGTTAACATCGACCAGACTACCCAGCGCAACAACCCAGAAGACAGAAATCTTCATACTCTGATGACGGAGGCAGTATGACCTCTGAAACGTCGGTTAACATCGACCAGACTACCCAGCGCAACAACCCAGAAGACAGAAATCTTCATACTCTGATGACGGAGGCAGTATGACCTCTGAAACGTCGGTTAACATCGACCAGACTACCCAGCGCAACAACCCAGAAGACAGAAATCTTCATACTCTGATGACGGAGGCAGTATGACCTCTGAAACGTCGGTTAACATCGACCAGACTACCCAGCGCAACAACCCAGAAGACAGAAATCTTCATACTCTGATGACGGAGGCAGTATGACCTCTGAAACGTCGGTTAACATCGACCAGACTACCCAGCGCAACAACCCAGAAGACAGAAATCTTTATATTTTCATACTTATGTAAAATGCATGTGTTTTAATACACTGAAATGTTTGTTATTCAATTAAATTACAGGATAAACCATAGGGTTTGACATTGTTAGTTTGTGGATCATCATTTTTGTTGTTTTACAGTAATCCACTGTAAAGAAATAGGAACAATTAATTAAATTTGCTAGATTAACTGTTAAAAAATCATTGACACAAGGCCTTTCTTGGCTATAGTAGTCCTATCAGGTTTGCTAAAAGTGCAGCATACATGCAAAAAACATTTTTCCAAGGCCAGTGGCTATCGGAAGTATGCTTACCAGCGGAATTCTGGAACCATTTATTTTAAAATAACATACTTATGCCCCATACAACTTATTAAAGGATGCAAACCTTGATCGACGTTGCTGAGCTCGAAAGGATATGCTGCCCCATCTGGAGCTGTATTTGTGTAGGTTACACTGCAGTAGCCAGGTTCCTTGTGAATGCAAATTGCATAGTTCAGGTTGTAAAAAAAAAATCGCGTACCGAAATTTATTGGAGACCCCGAAGATAAAAATCCACTCGAAGAATGGGAGGACAATATTAAAATGCATCCTGGATAGCTAACAACGGTACGTCTCGACCAAATCGATCTGGGTCAGGTTAGGGACTCGCGGCGGACTCTTGTAAACACTGTAACCTTAGGGTTCAATAAAGAACGGGTGATTCGTAAACTATTTATTATTATTTAGTGTTCTGTCTGACGACAGGTCCATATGACCAGGATCCTTCCATCCTTTTCTCGGACTGGGACCTGTTCATATACGTTCTTGGCAGATGATCCAGAAGTGGTTTGCCATTGCCTTCTTCTGTGTGTGAATGGAGTAATTGTTGGGATGCCACGGAGGAAAACTCCGTGATGCCTAGACCACGGCCTTGCCCAACACAAGTTATAAATTAGGGCACCACCGGGAATTGAACCCGGGACCCCAGGCTTACAAGGCTAGTGTTCTGACCACTAGACCACCGTGGCGGTCCATATTTGATTAGCTAACTGAAATTAATTAATTAATTAAAATGACTGTTAAATATAAAAATAAACAAATGTAAAATTATGTGTCCCAACTTCTATAGAACGTTTTCTTTTGTGTTTTATTAATTCAATTCAGTTTATTCAGTAAATTCGAATTTATTTAATTTTGGTTTTGTTTCACAGCTTACAGCTGACAAGCTTTTATTATTTTCTGGGCAATGAACAGTGTTACATGAAAGATTCTGTGTAGTTTTTCAGGAAAAATTGATTTTGGTTCAGAATGCTTCATGATTCTGTTAGAATCCTCGTAAGGTGGCCACATCAACATACTAGAAAGACGAGACAGGAAGAGGCATACAGAATCTTTGACTCTGCCTTTATTGATTTATTTTTATTTTGGGTAATGATGTAAGTCTGCACCACAGAGTTTACCTGTATAATTTCATGCCACATTGACGGCATAAATTAGCATGCAGATGTTGACTTACCATATAACCAGATCTGACAGCCTGATTGCTTCCTCCCAACATCTGGTAATTGAAGGACTCAATTGAACCTTTAATTCCTGTGTGGTACTGGAAACAGTTTTGGGGGGCTTCAAGAGGACTTCCTTTCTTGATCTGTGTCACTTTTATCCTGAAGCTCCGGGGAAGGTTGCCTCCCATTGTCAACATATTCAGTTGGATTGGTCCAGTAGTACCACCCACATCCATGTAAACTGACAGAGATTTTGTAATTTATATTTGCATTCTTTATCTAGTGATTTGTTAGCGATTACATTAGTAAGACACATGAGGGGAAACAAAAGAAACTTACTTAGTTTTTTAATAAAATCCTACAGGAAGAGGCCATTTTGGAGACTTTGGTAAGATAATAAATGAAACTGTGAGAAGTAGACTGTGAAGATGTGAATTGGATTGATCCACTGGTGGGCTTCTGTGGTGACGGTGATGAGTTTTGGATAACATAACAACAAAGAATTTCTTGATAAATAGAATACCTGAAGAGAACCTATACCTTAGATTTTAATTATTTAATTTGTTGGTTGAATATGGTTGACAGCTGTTTGGTAATGAGATATTTCTACAGAAACAAAATCATACTGCAATGGTCAGGGCCCAACATCGTCAGTGATCTGCTCATTTTTAACAAGAGAAAATCGAGGACGATAAGTAAAAAAGTCTTTTTCATCCATTTTCTCTCCCATTCGCTTTTTTTATTCTCTGCAGATGTTGAATAGTACATTTGTCACTGGTGTGGGTATGAGGGCCTCTGACAGAGATTTTGTAATTTATATTTGCATTCTTTATCTAGTGATTTGTTAGCGATTACATTAGTAAGACACATGAGGGGAAACAAAAGAAACTTACTTAGTTTTTTAATAAAATCCTACAGGAAGAGGCCATTTTGGAGACTTTGGTAAGATAATAAATGAAACTGTGAGAAGTAGACTGTGAAGATGTGAATTGGATTGATCCACTGGTGGGCTTCTGTGGTGACGGTGATGAGTTTTGGATAACATAACAACAAAGAATTTCTTGATAAATAGAATACCTGAAGAGAACCTATACCTTAGATTTTAATTATTTAATTTGTTGGTTGAATATGGTTGACAGCTGTTTGGTAATGAGATATTTCTACAGAAACAAAATCATACTGCAATGGTCAGGGCCCAACATCGTCAGTGATCTGCTCATTTTTAACAAGAGAAAATCGAGGACGATAAGTAAAAAAGTCTTTTTCATCCATTTTCTCTCCCATTCGCTTTTTTTATTCTCTGCAGATGTTGAATAGTACATTTGTCACTGGTGTGGGTATGAGGGCCTTTGTTAACCCTTTGAAGACGAAGATCGTCTGAATATTATTTACGAATCCAGACCGTACCGCGAAGAAAACACTACACCTCACCATTACGAAAATCAGCTGGTTAACCCTTTGAAGACGAAGATCGTCTGAATATTATTTACGAATCCAGACCGTACCGTGAAGAAAACACTTCACTTAACCATTAGAAGTCGAATCAGGCTGTACCACATAAGATTTAACAAAAGAACATCCCGGTCGAAGCCTTAATATTACATTTTTGAATCTTGTGATATAGAAAAAAGATTTGGACCATAATACAATTTTCTGGCCGTCTTTATTCGTCGCTGTGAATGGCCATTAGGGACAGTATCGTATGTTTTGAGTTCTATATGATGATAAGTAGGCTGGTGCAAAGCAGTTATAATTGTATGGGTACGCATGTTTTCTCTTGTGGAGGAAATGTGTGGCAAGTAGAATTTTTTCTGACTGGCGAACTGATCCACCGTTCACTGACATGGTTTTGCTTAACGCTTTAAGAATTTCTATATCTTATTTATGTTGTTATACTGTCCGCCGGCTATTAAATTTAAGAATTCTTACTGATCAGCTGGATGTTTTACTTTTTATGTAGGAAAATAAATTTATATTTTAATAGCAAATATTAATCATTCTGTGCATGATGTTTGAAAGAATCTGCCGTCCCTAAGTACCATGCCATTTTGACAGCTTTGTGCAGTGTGTACCTCAGTTCACCATTTGTGGCACTGCGGCGAAAGGTCATTATTAAAATACAGTAATGTGAATGTCAATTGGTGAACTTACTGTGTTGCCCCGTGTTGATGCCACAGATGATAGGTGCGATGCTGTTGGTGTTCTGCCCCGTCACAATGAACTGGTCATCTACGCAAGTTCCATTTGTTGGGCCGAGCAACTGTTGCAACATCATCACAATCTTTAATTGTATTTACTTCATTTGATTGCATTCGTTTAGCGGCTTTAGTGGTCTTAATACATAGCCAATTGCAGTCTTTGACTCAGTCTGAAATCTTGATTGGTCTTGCCGAGACATAGACTTACTAAAAAGTCGCCTTAAGTTAAACATAAAAGTGGTGTACGTTGAATAACAAGTCTTAAACTTAAAAATGGCCCAAACTGCATTATTATTATGTAACGTCAATACCAAAAAGTTTAGCAGTTTGATGTTTAATGTGTAAAAAGCAAAAGGAAGTAGTTTGTCTTACCTCGAACGTGAAGAAGTCGAGACGTATCTGTGAGACATCTGAATGAGCCTTCTCAATAGTAAGAATGCAGGCAAGCATGTTAGTTACAGGTGATGGAAACCCAGGGTTCACAAAGTAACTGCAGTTTTGGCGTGTCACTTCTCCACATGACTTCTCGACTGTAAATTATGCAGATTGGAGATATATATAAAACTGTGAACTTCGTAATGCCTTTACAAACTAAGCTAATGAAGATACTTTTAATCTAATGCAAATTATATCTTGATTTTTTAGAAACTTACCAAAAAGAGAAGCCAACACATGCAATTCCACAAGCCCACTACAATAAAATGCCCTTCATGACATTCAAAAAGATTGTCGGGGTTTTGTGAATTTTGTGGGGCAATGCATTAAACATATGACTATTATCATTACACTGGTGGATAGAGAAACTCTCAAAGTTTTGTTCTGTACCGCCCGCCATCCAGTAGTTACGCGATTGGCCGCCAGGTGCCAGATTTTGCAATATGGCGTCTATCGGTAAGAAGAAGGCTTTTTGTACTCTCGAATATCATCAAAGTCGGTCCGTTACCATTGTCCAACGGCACTTCTACACGAAATTTGGGAAGGATCAATTATTTGTCTGCGACTATCCCGGATCTGAAGGTACGTATCAGAGCCGCCATTCTGAACATCACCGCTGACACGCTGGGGCGTGTGTGGGAAGAAATGGACTGTCGTGTAGATGTCTGCAGATTGACAGAAGGCGCACATATTGAGCATTTATAATGCATGTAAAAAAACTTTGAGAGTTTTGCTACACAATAAAACAAGATTGGTATTCCTACCTCAATTGTACTACGTGTAGTGATTTTTTAAAACCTCGACAATCTTTTTGAATAGCCCTGTATATGCGTGTCTCATGTGTTGTTACTGGAACCTCTTGAATATTACATAGCGATTACTAGATTTTTAGCTCCTGATGGTGACACTGGAAACTTTTCCTTCTTTGCATCATATCTTCTATGGCTTGTACAGCCCATTCAACTGTTTGTACATGAAAACATATTTCTATGTACCTTTCAGTAAAATGTTGGCTGTTTCTGATGTTGGAAAAGTTGTAAGCAGATCCATATTTGAGCGGTTGTGCATCACTTGGGATGTCCGTAATCCATCACTGTATTAAATGTTGGCTGCATCGTTAATTGATCTGAGTGTGTACTTACAGTAACAGCATACACCATATCCTTGTGCACATGATCCACCAGCCACTCCTCCAAGACTCCTGCACTGCAGATGATGGTAGCATGTCCCATTTACTCCGTCACCTGTCTGGCATGGCTCATTGGGGAACTGGACAATTGTGAAGAGGCTCAGAACTGAAACACGCAGATCTTGATGAAATCAAAACTTAAAAATTGTGGTTATTTATTATCCCCATGATTTATTGATTGGTAACTTTTATTGTCTTCAAGTTGTGGAGATGACAGCTTTTGAGCCGGTTAAGAAATGGTATGATGTTTTATAAGCAAAATTCAGCAGCTATTTTTCACCCAAGTCTCTCCTGATTCACTACTAGATGGCTCTAGCAGACAAATCAGGATTGAGTAGAAATTGTGCAGAGACAGTGGGCTTTGTCACTCACTACTAATACGTGCACACTTCAAAGGCAAAGAAACCTTCCACGTGGGAGGAGGCCAAGGATCGATTAGGGCTGTTGCGCCATAGAAGAAGAAGAATAAATTGTATGCCATTATGCATTTGAATAATTTTAATAACATTAATGGTCTTACACCAAAGTCTCAGGAATGTTTCATTTCTCAGCTGTGTTTACAGCATTTTTAGAAGGAGTGTTCTTCTGAATCTGCTCCAAGAAGGAGATGGATACAATTCGTTTTGTCTCGGAACGAATCAACGGACTCAATCCTCGAATGAGAAGAAGAAGAAGAAGAAGACGACATGGTGAACTTTTTTCAGAATCAAAGATGTTGCAGCAGAACCGTCTTATTTGGTCTGGAGGAAATTTTACAACCAAATTTGTAAAGTTCGTTTAAGATTACTTTCTAAGTTCTGGTTTGATGTGTTTCGTGTGCGTGCAGTTGCTAATAATCTGTGTAGTTTCGTTGATTTTAAACCCATTAATCGACCAGTCCAATTCTGTACATACATTTAGCCACCTTTTTCCGGACAATGCTCTTGGCAATGTCTGCGAAGGTCCTTGGACTCTCTTCCTGTGTTGACGAGTGCGGTTTCCTGTAGAGGACTATTCTTCTGAGTCTCACAACTTTAGTGCCATTGGGTAGTGTGTAGCTGGTAACAGCTGTTGGCGGCCCTGTTGCAACCCTTGTCCCAGTCCGTAGCGGGTGTCCTCCATGATGAAATGGCATGACCTCGCCATTGTGCTGGCTCTCGGCCGGTTCACCACCGCCCGCTGCATCGTATGTTGACACGTGCTGCTTCTCCCCACCCGAGGCGTAGTCACTTGGCCATGACGTGTCACTGAACCGGTTTCTGTTTGAATCTGTTTCACGCTCTTCATTGAATTCCGACACGTGATGATCACTTCCAGAAATGTCCCCGAAACGGTTTCTCTGAACACTAAATTCGTCCTGTCCCGGTCTATGATTCCCCGCGGTTGAACCATTCTTGTTTATTTCACCAAAATAGTACCCTTCTGAGTCAAAAGTAGTTTCCAAATTTATGCTGTCGTGTTTGACGTCTTCCGTGATCGTTTCAGACGGACTCCATATTAAATCGTGCGAACGCTGTACATTTCCAGCGTCTTCATTTTCTCCCGGAGGTCGACGACGTCCGCCGCCCCCGGTGTCATTGTCTTCGGTGAAGAGACCGCCCTCTTCGCCTTTCCCGTCAGAATCGCTGTGCCATCCAGTGAAATTATTCCGGTTTCTTCCGGAATCCTGTTTATCTTCTGTGCCAAAACCACTCTGCCGTGTGACGTCACTAAAGTGATGTGTCCCGAAGTCATATGCACCACGAACTTGACCCCTTCTTGTGTCAGGGTCACTGAAATGGTTTCTTTCAAAATCATTAATGTTTTGTAAACTGCCGTCCGGTTTGTCTGTGCGTATTTGTTGTCTCACTCTGTTTCTGTCGCGATCACTGCTTTGTTTTGTTGTGGAATCACCTTTTTGTCGTCGCAGCTGACGGTCCTCATCTCTCGAGAGATCATCTTCGTGTTCATTATTATGTTTGGCCAGAAATGTATGTGCGGTCCTAACATTTGGGTCATTTACTTCGAACCCTGACGTCTGTGTATCGGAATAACTTACGTACTTACCCACCTTCCTCGAATCATTATCGTTTGGGTCCTCTACCTTATATGGTTCTTTTAATCTGTGTCCATATATATCTAAACCAGAATCACTTTCATGATATTCCACTTGACTTTTACCCAATTCTGTATGCCACGTGGTATTGTTAAATAGATTTATTCTATCGTATTTATTCTTACTGTGTTCTTCACGTTCATTTAACAGCACACGAGTTCTGCCTTCGTCCGAATCACTACGTTCACCTGTTTCATTGTAGTTGAAATTAACTCCGTCCTGATAATGACCGGCGGGTTTGATAAAGTTATTATAATCACGCTGTGAAATTCTGTAACGAGGGAATAAGAGAGGTGGTGAAAACACTATTTTTGATTCGGGAACCCAGAATTCTTCCTGGAGTTGAACCCCAGTCATGGTCGTAGTAAATATTATTAAAACACAGTTTAGGCCTGCTCTTTGTGTGGAAACCTTCTCCATATTGATAACAGACTGATGAAATTATAAATTGCATTTGAGATGTTAAGTCCTGTTAAGTTACGATGCTTTAAGTAACACTAAACTTCGAGTCTTATTTCCATACTGTAGAGTCACTCCGCGGCGCTGCTAGCACCGACAGTGTTCGACATCCGAAGTTGGGCGAGGACTTCCGAAGACGCGCCCATGAATTTGTAGACTGCGCATGTCGGTCGTTTGACGCTGTGTGAACATGTGCCCCTTCCAGAAAGTGTTCACTGCCGCCGTCTCGTGCATTCTCTGCACGACTCCTACCGTGCATTTGAATAAAACTAATATTAACGCTTTTTTGCTACAAATCATCTTGTCCTTCCAAGTAATTGTCCATTGTTGAAATAATTTCTGATGTCTGTCACGAGCTACTTCAGACACACACACAAATAACCTTTAAGTAGTTTATTTATTATTATTATTTAGTGTTCTGTGTGACGACAGGTCCATATGAACAGGATCCTTCCATCCTTTTCTCGGACTGGGACCTGTTCATATACGTTCTTGGCAGATGATCCAGAAGTGGTTTGCCATTGCCTTCTTCTGGGTGTGAATGGAGTAATTGTTGGGATGCCACAGAGAAACCGGGGAAGCCCCCGGAGGAAAACTCCGCGTTGCCTAGACCACGGCCTTGCCCAACACAAGTTATAAATTCGGGCACCGCCGGGAATCGAACCCGAGACCCCAGGATTACAAGGCCAGCGTTCTAACCGCTAGACCACCGTAGCGGTCTTTAAGTAGTAGAGAAGATATAATCAAGTGACTCCTGGTGCAAGGTTGGTTAACATTTCCGTAATATATCGAAGAATGGTTTTTAATATTATCATCCCATCTACGTCTCCGTGTTTCAAATAGACCTGTAAGTTAATTACGGAAAATGTGACATCCTCGTCGAGGTTTCTCGTCATTTTCCTCAGCCCCTCCAGGCAAATACTGAAATATCTTGCAGTAAGTTACTCCACGTTATGGATTCCTTTCACCTTCTTTCCAAGTCCTCATTCGGATTCATAATGTCATTTCTAGAATTGGGACGTGCCACTGCCTCTGTCCTCAGACTGTACCAGTACGTTAAATAGGTCACGACCACTTCCTTTTACACCCCTGCAAACTTTTACATGTGTCCTATCATTCCCCATTCGAACTTGGACAGTTAATTAAATAAAACAGGTCATTTCCGGTTTCTTCCGCGTCATTTCCAATCCACAATCTCTGCAGTTTTGCAGTCGACCCTCGAGAACTAATATAGCTGATATAAACGTCGTTAAATAAGTAAAAGAAACAATAACGTTCAGGTATGGAGTCTACGTACACTCAACTCACTCGTACGTGTCAGTTGTGTAATGCCCTGGCAGTATTACGCATCTAAATTGCAGGTTGTACCTTGCAATTTCATGGTTGGTTTCTTTCCCAACCAATCACCGGTTCCAGCTGGTGGGCCTGCAGGCAGGAACACCTCAGTCTTGTGTCGAAACCTGCGAGCACCCATAATGTTTCTCCAGAAATCACCAGTAAGAGAAATCGCAAGGCGTGGCATTGACATTTTCGAAGTAGCGTTTCCGGTGAGAATTGCAAGGAGGATTTTGAAGTTTTCACGGAGTTGAGTCCGAAGATTACAGTCTTATACGTTGTAGCGTCTAGCAGTCTGGTAGAAGTTACCGACGTTTCAGAGATCCTTGCTGCTTCCATCATCAAGGGCGATGAGTGAGGGAGGCAGCAGGGACCTTTGAAACAATTGGTAAACTTCTAGCGTACGACATGGCTCTACAACCCAGAAGAGAGCAATCTTTGAGAATTGTAATTCTTCGTTTATTATAATTGCCATAAGAATAATTGTTATCTCTACAACTTAGGCTATTTAGCCGAATTTGTTTCCAAATTTAATTATTATAAACGCCTTCCAAAGGTTAATATATTAATAATGTATCATGGGGCCAACCATATTCTTTGGGATTAAAGAGTATGTGATGCCCCGTGGTAGCTCAGCTGATAAAGTTTGGTTAGAAAATCTGGTTGATCTTATTCAGGAGGGAATGTAATGGCATTTTTAGTTTATAGAAGTGGATGATTTCTTGGCCAGCTTAAGAACTGTCAGATGCTTGACAAAGAGTTTACCGTCGGGTTTGTTTGTTCATTAGTTTCTGCAGATCAGTCGAATATACGAAGATAGCTGTCTTATGGGTTGTAGCGCCAATTTCTGAACCTTTGATAAACTTCTACAAGATTGCACCGCGCTAGAACACAGAAAACGGCTGTCTTCGTACTTAGAACGTCAAATGCTACCAACCAGATGTAGTTCCCTACTCTCAATCTCTGCTGTTGCCTTGATTTGCTATACCAAATAATGTGCTTTTTACCCCTTCGAGCTTCACGCTCTTAACTGCGAGTCGCATTATGTTCCTTCCAAATGAAAACAGTTTTGCGCAATTAATAATCACTTTGTTTCTCGTTGTGTGAAAACTATCGCGTTTTGATGCTCTGTTGTTCCACTCCGACAGCCGTGGTTACGTATCCTTGACCCGCCACGGTCTTCTTTCTAGACCCACTTGTGCTTGCTGATGACCGGAAAGCACAGTAAATTGTCGTCAGCACATGCTACAGTAAGCAGGGAAAGTTAATTCCCGAAAGAAACTGAAAAATAATATCGGAATTCCGAAAATATTGTACTCTGTGCTTATGTATGTTTTTGAAAAAGTAAGGTTATAATACCGCCCATCTGAAAGAACCAACTGCATCACGTGTTCTACTAACTTCTAAGATGGTAAACTACCACATAGACTACGCTGCGCTACAACCTAGAAGACAGCCATTTTCGGGAAAACCTGAAATCACGTTCACCAACTTCATTTACCTCATTTGTCCCGGTCTGTTTTGTGCCCTAATTAATACTCGTCTACAAAAGACTGGAAACTCATGCCATAAAATGTATAGCGTTTCAGGATCGGCAACTTCTTTGTTTGAAACAATTTTATTATGCGATACGGCTACGTATAACGAAAGAAAAAACGTCTCAGAATTTTTGTCAGCAATACAGTTATCTTCCGAAACATTGTAATGTCTATACGTATAAATGCCTGCATTTATTTAGTGTTACATACTTTTATAACCTTAGTATATTTAACAGCATACTGCTCGAAACATGGTTACTTTTTGACTAGGTTGTCCATAGTATTGATCTGTTTGGGGGAAGTCGTTGTTCAACAAGTACTAATTCTGAATGAGGGATTATTTCTGGACATTCCTAGTAAATATACAGAGTATGTATTTTTTTTCTGTTTAATGAAATGACATAATTTCAGTATATTCAGAGTGAGCTAGTGACTTCATGACACCATGAGAATTGTGCCTCTTGTTTAGACAGTGATAATAGTAATCATGACTATAACTTGAAGAATGCTGCTGTGTATTTGTTTAACAATCATTTGGTATAGTTATTGCAGAAGTGATTCTTACTCAGTATTATTGTTACTGTTTTTTCTTACTGGTAATTTAAACCTGACGTTGAACATCAAATTTATATTATTTACAAAAAAATAAAATGGATGGAGAGGACTTTGGTTTTCTAAAGCATTCAGAATCTGCCTGCTATTATGTTATTTTGAAAGCAAATTTATGATTAAATAACCTTACAGTACCGGTAGAATGAAATATGAACAATGCTTATTGCCCTTTCATTGCAATAAAGAACAAAGTTTTTGCATGTGTCATACATTAAGGTTATATAGAATTTATATACATTGGATCTTAGTGTCATTAGGTTAGCTTTGCAGTAAAATGTGCCATTTATATTTAGGAAGACCCTGGTTTGAATTTCAGGGCTAGAAAACATATATGTGTTCTTACCAAACTTATCAGGATAGTGTCTTAACCTCACATTGATTGTACTAGGTGTCACAGACACGTGTCATCAAAGACATTTGGCAGCTGTGCAGCCAGTGCTACCAAACACAGCAACTGACCCAGTGAATGCATATGTGAGAAAGGTCATTCTGTGTGATTGTTATTTTTTGTAACACAAAGAAGCAGGATTAGATTTTTGACACTTTCCGATCCATCACTTCGAGAACTGCGTCATAGACGTCGTTTAAGTCATGTTTGTCTGTGTAATGTAGTAATTTATGTGCAGCTTTTTAATATGTGGGTTGAATTTCCTGATTTTGTCATTTTGCACTTGTACGTCATAATTCAGTGCCTGAATGCCATAGTACCTCACACTGTAATAGACATACAAGTAAATACTTCAACTTATGTTTCATGGTAACAAATTTATTGGTGCCATACATTTCCTCTACAATATGCCATAAAGGACTTTTTACATCCAACATATTAAACAGAATTATTACTGAATTTGAGACTTTCGTGGCGAGCAATAAATAAAATCTTCTTGGGCAATCAGCCGCATACCCAGTTGACGTCGGTGATTGCCCGAGAAGATTTTAATGAGAATTATTACTGTAAATTATTTGTGAAATAATTCACTATAATCTCTGTAAAATACTTACATAGTCAAATATGTAGCTTGTCATCTGGTTCTGAAAGACTCGGCATAATCGATGACATTACAATGTGAAGCGCAAATGCTGTAGAGTTTCGATGATGGAGTGAATGGTTAAGATGTCTCAAAAAAGATTTTCTACCTTCTAACATTGACTTCCTGTGCTGTATCCATTTTGCACAAACAAGAAATTTCCAGCAAAGTGATGATAGTTTAGTCTTAACATCCTTTGCTGAGAAAATGCCATTAATTTGTTTTCACTTGCTGACTTGTGCAATGAACTGTTTTGTTATTTAGTCTATTTCCTTGTCTCTTTTAGTTGAAGAAGAACAATGGGTTCAGAACACAGTACACAACAGGGACATGCTTCCTCTGGTGGGAGCCGTACCAACCTGCAGAGGGGCAAGTCCGTTCCAGAGAGAGAGACAAGACCAGAGAGTGGGGAGGGAATGAGACCCGGCAGCATCTCGCCTGGTCCTAGCATATGTTCTGATTCAGATCTGCCATACATTTCGTACACCGTCAACAGACCCATAGGAGGTAATGCACTGTGGACTGAGCGGATGACTACGCTCCATATCAAAACTTAAAACTACAAGACACCAGATTATATGGACTGCCACATGAAGGCACCACCAGTCCCCATTGGCTTGCACGCAGCCATGAACACGGGGCTTAGGCAGGTATATACATGACACGGACTGGATCTCCAGCCACATCAGCACCCTGAGGATGAGGACAGAGATGGTTCTCAAAACATGTTTTATTAACCACCTGATAGCCCTGGTGAACTTTATTATATCAAGTTACAGTCAAAGCTCCAGGTCATACATTGCTGTATCCAGCCTCTCAGTCTGACTCTTGGTCAATCTATCTTAACCGTCTACCGATGAAACAAATCATTGCAGTACTTAAAATAAACCATAGCACTTCATAATTGAGCTGTTATGCTTGAAAGTTAGGTGAAGTGGAATCGTCTCCCATTTCAACTGAGCTTTTACACATTTGATCCGCAGAACAGGTTTCCATTTTGTTCTAATTTTGTCCGCGTGGCTTCAAAGATTATGCTAGTGATTGAAGGTGGTTTCCAGAAACATTTCAGGCATTTGTATGAATCTTAGCAGAAGTATGTAGCCGCTGAAGGCATCTTGTGTCCAAGGGCTTCATGTGCAAGATTCACACTGAAGCAATTTGCCACTAAGGAATAATTTTAAAAGTAACGTCACTTTCATTCCAGTGCGAATGCTTCATATTGTAATGCACACAGATTTTATAAGCAACATGTATCTTGCTCGCATGTATATCGCCTGCTGCTAGTTGCTTCATTGTGAATTTGCCTATGTGCCACCAGATTTTCTCCTGTTCAGAAACATCTTGAAACTGCCACATGTTTATAATAATATACTTTTAATCTTATATGAGACTGAGATACATATTTAAAATCTTGCAGATTCTCCAAAATTGCCACATAAGCACGGAGGTCACTTGCAGCGTGGCAAGTCTCTCGGGCCAAACAATCGTAAGGCTGGAGGGGTGATTCCAAAGAGACAGTTTTCTGTGGTTAACAAGTCATCAGCCCATAATATTGTGGTGGTAAAACCTGCTGTCAATGCTGAAGCCACGGACAAGGACCCAGACTTACTAAGATTGCAGGTGACCAATGTCTCAATCTTGACATCTTCATTAGTATGTAAAAAAGTATAGATATTGTCTCCTGTGAATTGCAGGGAAATGGCTATGGATTGAACAAGCCTCACACGACTCATAGTTGAGTGGTTTTCAGTTTAAATGTTTAATATCTGCTTAAGTATTTTTCTCAGGCCTACGAATAAATGTTTTCTCCTTACTTTCTAATTCACTGTACATGGCCTCATCTGATTCCGTACTAAGTAATCTCTGCTGTTGAGACAACAAAATTGATTCATCAGATATGAAATTATGTTCTTGAAATGGGAACTGACCTTGTCATGGATATCATGTAGTTAGAAATTACATTAAAACCTTTGCATTTCTCCAGTGCCAAAAATGTATTTCCTCAAAAGTGTAAATATAAGTCGTATAGCAAAATTGTATTTATTAAGTAACAGTTAGTGATGTGATATGCTGTCGAATATTTTTTGAAAACTTACCATTGCTACAAAGTCCTTATGAATGTGAAGTATCCTTGAGAGGACTTTGGTTTTCTAAAGCATTCAGAATCTGCCTGCTATTATGTTATTTTGAAAGCAAATTTATGATTAAATAACCTTACAGTACCGGTAGAATGAAATATGAACAATGCTTATTGCCCTTTAATTGCAATAAAGAACAAAGTTTTTGCATGTGTCATACATTAAGGTTATATAGAATTTATATACATTGGATCTTAGTGTCATTAGGTTAGCTTTGCAGTAAAATGTGCCATTTATATTTAGGAAGACCCTGGTTTGAATTTCAGGGCTAGAAAACATATATGTGTTCTTACCAAACTTATCAGGATAGTGTCTTAACCTCACATTGATTGTACTAGGTGTCACAGACACGTGTCATCAAAGACATTTGGCAGCTGTGCAGCCAGTGCTACCAAACACAGCAACTGACCCAGTGAATGCATATGTGAGAAAGGTCATTCTGTGTGATTGTTATTTTTTGTAACACAAAGAAGCAGGATTAGATTTTTGACACTTTCCGATCCATCACTTCGAGAACTGCGTCATAGACGTCGTTTAAGTCATGTTTGTCTGTGTAATGTAGTAATTTATGTGCAGCTTTTTAATATGTGGGTTGAATTTCCTGATTTTGTCATTTTGCACTTGTACGTCATAATTCAGTGCCTGAATGCCATAGTACCTCACACTGTAATAGACATACAAGTAAATACTTCAACTTATGTTTCATGGTAACAAATTTATTGGTGCCATACATTTCCTCTACAATATGCCATAAAGGACTTTTTACATCCAACATATTAAACAGAATTATTACTGAATTTGAGACTTTCGTGGCGAGCAATAAATAAAATCTTCTTGGGCAATCAGCCGCATACCCAGTTGACGTCGGTGATTGCCCGAGAAGATTTTAATGAGAATTATTACTGTAAATTATTTGTGAAATAATTCACTATAATCTCTGTAAAATACTTACATAGTCAAATATGTAGCTTGTCATCTGGTTCTGAAAGACTCGGCATAATCGATGACATTACAATGTGAAGCGCAAATGCTGTAGAGTTTCGATGATGGAGTGAATGGTTAAGATGTCTCAAAAAAGATTTTCTACCTTCTAACATTGACTTCCTGTGCTGTATCCATTTTGCACAAACAAGAAATTTCCAGCAAAGTGATGATAGTTTAGTCTTAACATCCTTTGCTGAGAAAATGCCATTAATTTGTTTTCACTTGCTGACTTGTGCAATGAACTGTTTTGTTATTTAGTCTATTTCCTTGTCTCTTTTAGTTGAAGAAGAACAATGGGTTCAGAACACAGTACACAACAGGGACATGCTTCCTCTGGTGGGAGCCGTACCAACCTGCAGAGGGGCAAGTCCGTTCCAGAGAGAGAGACAAGACCAGAGAGTGGGGAGGGAATGAGACCCGGCAGCATCTCGCCTGGTCCTAGCATATGTTCTGATTCAGATCTGCCATACATTTCGTACACCGTCAACAGACCCATAGGAGGTAATGCACTGTGGACTGAGCGGATGACTACGCTCCATATCAAAACTTAAAACTACAAGACACCAGATTATATGGACTGCCACATGAAGGCACCACCAGTCCCCATTGGCTTGCACGCAGCCATGAACACGGGGCTTAGGCAGGTATATACATGACACGGACTGGATCTCCAGCCACATCAGCACCCTGAGGATGAGGACAGAGATGGTTCTCAAAACATGTTTTATTAACCACCTGATAGCCCTGGTGAACTTTATTATATCAAGTTACAGTCAAAGCTCCAGGTCATACATTGCTGTATCCAGCCTCTCAGTCTGACTCTTGGTCAATCTATCTTAACCGTCTACCGATGAAACAAATCATTGCAGTACTTAAAATAAACCATAGCACTTCATAATTGAGCTGTTATGCTTGAAAGTTAGGTGAAGTGGAATCGTCTCCCATTTCAACTGAGCTTTTACACATTTGATCCGCAGAACAGGTTTCCATTTTGTTCTAATTTTGTCCGCGTGGCTTCAAAGATTATGCTAGTGATTGAAGGTGGTTTCCAGAAACATTTCAGGCATTTGTATGAATCTTAGCAGAAGTATGTAGCCGCTGAAGGCATCTTGTGTCCAAGGGCTTCATGTGCAAGATTCACACTGAAGCAATTTGCCACTAAGGAATAATTTTAAAAGTAACGTCACTTTCATTCCAGTGCGAATGCTTCATATTGTAATGCACACAGATTTTATAAGCAACATGTATCTTGCTCGCATGTATATCGCCTGCTGCTAGTTGCTTCATTGTGAATTTGCCTATGTGCCACCAGATTTTCTCCTGTTCAGAAACATCTTGAAACTGCCACATGTTTATAATAATATACTTTTAATCTTATATGAGACTGAGATACATATTTAAAATCTTGCAGATTCTCCAAAATTGCCACATAAGCACGGAGGTCACTTGCAGCGTGGCAAGTCTCTCGGGCCAAACAATCGTAAGGCTGGAGGGGTGATTCCAAAGAGACAGTTTTCTGTGGTTAACAAGTCATCAGCCCATAATATTGTGGTGGTAAAACCTGCTGTCAATGCTGAAGCCACGGACAAGGACCCAGACTTACTAAGATTGCAGGTGACCAATGTCTCAATCTTGACATCTTCATTAGTATGTAAAAAAGTATAGATATTGTCTCCTGTGAATTGCAGGGAAATGGCTATGGATTGAACAAGCCTCACACGACTCATAGTTGAGTGGTTTTCAGTTTAAATGTTTAATATCTGCTTAAGTATTTTTCTCAGGCCTACGAATAAATGTTTTCTCCTTACTTTCTAATTCACTGTACATGGCCTCATCTGATTCCGTACTAAGTAATCTCTGCTGTTGAGACAACAAAATTGATTCATCAGATATGAAATTATGTTCTTGAAATGGGAACTGACCTTGTCATGGATATCATGTAGTTAGAAATTACATTAAAACCTTTGCATTTCTCCAGTGCCAAAAATGTATTTCCTCAAAAGTGTAAATATAAGTCGTATAGCAAAATTGTATTTATTAAGTAACAGTTAGTGATGTGATATGCTGTCGAATATTTTTTGAAAACTTACCATTGCTACAAAGTCCTTATGAATGTGAAGTATCCTTGTAGGATTTGATGTTTTCATGGTGGTGAGTTTGAAGATGGCTGTCTTCTGGGTTGTTGCGCCGTATAGTCTGGTTGAAGTTTACTGTAACAGACTACACTGCGCAACAACCCAGAAGACAGCCATTTCCTGAAGTATCCTTACTGTAATTTTTCTTGACTTTCCTCAGTCCCTCCAGGCAAATTCTAAGAGATACAGGCCATGATTGCTTGTATCCAAAATCCTTTTACATTTTCATGATTACACTCTCTTCTCATTTAGTGCTACATAACATCTGCAGTTGATACAGCCTTAACTTACAAAACCATAATCAGTTAAAGGTAAATAATATTTAGTATGCGTAACTGCTTGAAGCAAGATGTATTTTAAGTCATGGGGACATGTGAATTTATTTCTACTCCACAGAGTGTGCCCATGTTCCTACCAATCATGCGAGGGACATTAAACTTGCCAGCAGTCCGAGATCCAGAAGTTTTGGAGCGACTTGATCCAAATGGACTGCTGAGCCTGTGTCTGCGATATCAACAACATATTGCCTTATGCAGTGAGCTGGTTGCTTCAGAGCAGGCACAGCTTGGCCACAGAGTCCGAGATGTGAGTGGATTCTACCTTCTTACCTCACTAAAGCGGCCCATCCACGTACGAGTCTGGCTTGCGAGTCAAGTTCTCTGAGCCAGACTCGTACGTGGATGGGCCTCTTTAGAATCATTACATCAGTGAGCCTCAATCTTCGCCTATGCTTCAGTTTTGACCTGTTGTAATCTACTTTAGCAGGGCCAGATTTAGGTTTATACTAAATTAGTCACAGCTTAGGGCCTCACCAGCACAGAGGCCTCTAAATACTGAAAATGTTTCTTAATGCCTGTAATATATTTTTTTGAGGGATCCTTTAGATCACATTCATGCTAAATCGAAATTAGGATAGAATCAGGAATGTTTTGAATACTTCGTAAGTAAAGAAACCTAAGTAATGTAAAGAAAAGGCAGACATCAGTAACTTGACAAAATATTGTAGAACTTAGGTAGCTAGTTATTTCTCTTGCCTTCAAACCCACAGTTCCCATTTTGTTTATACTGCAGGAATGGACTCTCAAACCACCTTTACACCACATCTCAGTAGCGAGGAGTGCTCATAATAGTTTGATGACACCACCAAAACAAACAATTATCATTTATATTTAGCACTGATGCTTTTTGAAAGAGGCAGTAAGTTAAGGAGATGCATTTTTAAGTGCCTTTAGAAAAGTGATTTTCAGCTTTTTACAGACTAGAGCTACATTTAACGTAATGATTTGTGGGTTATTGCGTTACACATGATGGCAGTTATTAAACGTGCTACATTCTCTGTATTGCAAGCAGGTTCACATGTTAGCGTACTCCACTGTTCTGCAAACTTTATTCACCCATGGCACACCCTGATTTGTTAGACACATGACAGTATACCACAAAACTTCACTTTACGAAAAGGGGGTACAAAACCGTACATGGCTGTAAATATGTATCTACATATAAATCCTCATTATAAGAATGCAGGTATATGAAAACAAAACATAGCACGGTGTGTAACGTACTCTTGGTGTGTTTATGAAATTTAATGTCAGTATTGGTCTTCTAAGTTGTAATGCCATGTAGACTTGCAGGTAGATGCTGATGTATGAGAGGAATATACTGCCTCCATCTTTAGTGCCTGCAACTCACACAACATTAAAACTCTGAAGATTGACTGATATCTTTACCATTGTAAGAACCCCAGATAACAAGTAATTTAATGATTCTTCACTAATACTGGATACTGGGAACGACCTGTTCTTCAAGTGCCTGAGCACTGCGGGTCCCAACTTTACGTTGGCTTGATCTATGGACATTCGGTAGGACTCCTTGGACGAGGGATCGGCCCGTCGCAAGGCCTCTACCTGTACACAGGACAGCACAACACAGAAAAACGCGGACAGACATCCATAGCTTGAGTGGGATTCAAAACCACGGTCCCAGCGACCGAGCGGCACAAGGCCCACGCCTCAGAACGCGCGGCCACTGAGGACCCCCTCACTAATACAGAAATACTTAAATTTATCCAACTTCTTTTCTCATTTTTACCTTGATTACATAATGTTATTTGTAAAGTTTCTGCTGAATTTATCTTTTGTTTAGGTTTAGTTTTTATATCATTCCTGAAGTCATTACAGGATTTCCATATATCAAAATTATGACTTCTGTTTTCATCTGCAGTCGTTGTGGTATGACGGTAATTGGTCAGATGAAAGTGACAGACTCCAAGTTCAGTAGCCATCTTAAGTGCAGTCAAACAGGAAATAGTTTTGATGTGTAATTCATATTGTTTTCTCACCTCCATCTAGTGATAAGTTCTAGAACGCATGGGACTTTGCCTGTAGATTTCTTGCAAAACTTCATGGTATGATGTTTAGGCACTGTTATCCTCTTCATTTATATTAATTAAAATAGCTTGGAACTCTTGGTGAAATATTTGTTGTAACTGTGCAGATTGACTTTGAAATCTCAAAACTGATGACAGTCATGACAGAACGGCAGAAGAAATATGCAAAGTATGCAGAAAAGCTTGCCAAAGTGCATGAGCTATCTCACCAGTTGAACCGCTGCCACATGGTGCTGAACCAGACACTAGAGAGCATGGAAACACTTAACAACAGCCTTCCTGTCGAAGAGCGGCTAGAACCATTTGTCTGGACAACTGGCTGAGTAATCAGACGACCATCTCCCTGCCCTTCCTGGATTGCAATTTGTGCCATTAATGGTCAGAAACATTGTAATAAAAATTGTTCGTGTGTTCACAGCTGTTGTTGGTATGGAGGAAATGGGTAACATAATATAAGTCTTTATCACCATACATAATATAAACTGTCTTCTTACGAACATATATTTTGAATATTTGAATTAATGATATTACTGTTCTCATTATCTGACCCTCCATGTGATGAAGTTTTTCATTGTTTTTAGTATATTCCTTCACAATTTCAGAAATGACAGTAATGGTATATAATAATAGGAAGAAATTACCATATACCTGCAAGTCATTTAATGATGTAGTATCCCCCACAGGAATCATTACACAAACACGTGTGCGCGCATACACAGTCACATGACCACATCTCAGCTCATAGTCTTTACTAGTCCATCCCAAGTTTATCGTTGTACCAAATGGCACTCCTTTTTTATTTTGTTATTATGCATATGTTCTGGCAAACCAGAGCCACTTATGTTCCAGTCTGCATAACATTTATGTTAAGTGTAATGCTGCCTGTATTTTATTGTGCGCTTGGCATGGTAGAAGAGTTATAATTTGTGCCTTAAACCATGTCTTATATACCATTTCACTTTTAATGTTCTATGAACTCATAAATTACAAGTAGTTATTAATTGTTTGAAATCAGCTTATATTAATGCTAAAATTTTCCATTTCTCCCTGCCAAAATGTGAGGTGGTTTTGGAACTTATTTTTTTGAGATGTTCAGTAATTTTGAGAAAGTTTGTGCAATATATTCTATGCTTATAATAAGGTATATCAAGACCACTGTAAAATATGAAAGTTATGAACTGCTGAAGAGGTACAGTTTACAATAAGATGATCAGATACTTATGCCCCTTTCATGGCCACAATATTGTTATTTACAGTGCTTGTGAACAAATGTCTGTAGTAGTATTATTAATGTCAAAATAGTCTTTAGACATATTTATACATTTATGCAGCAGTTCATAATTTGTTGACAGGTTAAGTTGCATTAGACCATTTAATTCAGTTACTTTACAGTATGTTTGTGTTAGGTCTGGCAAGCATACATTAACTCAGGGCCATCCCTATGGGAATAGCTGACCTGGGCCCAGCACTTCGAGGGGCGCACAGTATCATCTGAAGGTCTCTAGAGTAAAACTGTTGAAAGTATTGATGCTGCACTTCAAGGCCTTCCATATCTAAAATTACTAGACACCTCCTTCCCAACATGAAATAACTAACAGGATTATGCCAAGAGTCCCAGTTACAGTGGCTTCGGGAGAGTGAGGTTTATCGAAACTGAAAATAATTAAGAATTATCTGAGGACAACTATGGCTTAAGGGAGGCTGGGTGGAGTGGACCTTTTGTCCATCGATAAATGATAAGAATGAAGTGTTGACTACAATACAGTATCATAGCGGAGTTTGCAGCAAGTAAATCGAGGAAGGTGGATTTCATGTAAGCAGCATGATTCTGGTGGGCGAGTTGTATTTTGAAGTATATTCCCTTAACACAAACCTTCAGGAGTGGCTTGTATTGACTTATCTGTACTGGGGTCCTGCATTGCTCTAGGCACAGCTATGCATAAATAATACAAGTGCATTTTGTGAGAAGCTTAGCATACATTTTCATTATGTTATAAAGTTCTTCCACTAAAACATTTTACAGTTTTGTTAAACAGAATTTTATGCTGCCTTCTGTAGGAAACTTGCATATTAATTTATTTAAATTATAAACAAAAGTTGAAGATCATACAATTGAATTTGTACAAATTTTTATCACATAAGGATACAATCAGAAATATGGTGATTGGACAGTTTTTCAGTTTCACACACAAGTGCATGCACACCTAAAGGCATCGCTGTTTAAACTGCCATGAATGAATAATTAATAAAATAATGTAAGCCTGCAAGAGCAAAGAGAATGAATGTCTGTATTGACATCAAGTTACAATATTGTACTAGTCAGCTTGTACCAAAATCACATTCCTCTTCCCCTCCACAAGGGGAAAAACATCTTCATTCAACCTCTTCTTGAGTCAGATATTAAAACATACATGAACCCCACATGTGCTGCTTATTCTGTCCATCGGTGTGCACAGTGTGCATTGGTGCACACATAGTAAAGTCTCATCTCTTCCTGAAATGTGAAAAAATAACCATTATTTCATAATTCTGTGGTACAGAAGCCACTGAAAACATACCTGATTTCGACCTGAGCTAGTTCAGTTCAATTTGCTATTTACCTCATGTCAATTATCAGATTATCCACCGAACCAAGGCTCCAGATGTATACTACAGTCACTCACCACTGCCAAGTGTAAGAATATTTGTACGAAGCGCATCACTAGTCTACTAATGAGTGGATTTTCTGAAGTGGCTAGTAAATTTAAGTTGTATTTCTACAAGAACTTGTATGCATTTTTGTTGTCATGGTATGTCAGAAGAAATCAACATTGTGATGAATGGTAACCACTTCATAGATATCAGAAACAAAGTAATTTGGAAGATTATTTGTTTCTCAATGAAGGAAAGGTAGTATCCATAGGATGTAATGTGTTCTGAAGTTCAAGATGCTGCTCTGCTCTACAGCCCACTTGGGTGAGTGCCAACGTATATTCCTTTCAGCATCAGACTCTAGAACCTGAATTTGTTATATATCATAATAGTGCAAGCCCTAAAGGAAAAATATTTATTCCTCAGAAATTTTGATAGATGTCTGAATTCTTTTCTGCTCTTGAAAAAATATTGGAACACACATTAGTTTTAAGTTTGACTGTACTTCCTACACATATTTCAAAATTGGGGTCCACATTATAGTGCATTACACTCTAAATATGACTGTCAATTTTTATTGTTTCACAAAATACTTTGCCAGCTTCACTAACTTCTGTAAAACACTAATATTTCTGCTCCCATAGATGTCTCTTATTAAACTCGTGTACAAAATTATTCTGTATTCAGAATAAACATGTGAACATCACTCACAGAATATACATAACCTTAAAAGCTTCCTGTACAAAACAGAATTTATTTTTGAGTTTACATAAATTCTTGCTTAGAAATCACATTATTATTAAGAAGTCTACCAGTTATAGTACATCATGTTGTTTTTGATGTAAGCAGTCCTGTATTAACTGCAGAATGAGAAATGGCAGGATCACTATAAACATTGAGAGGAATATGAAAGTAGTTGTGGCCTATTCTACGATACGATTCATTATGTAGAATGTGTTTTGTCTTGGAAATAGTTCTATACTTACAAGAACCAAACCAAACATGAGGACACAGAAAGAAGAACACTATTTAAATTATCATCTGTAAATGTGGGTAAAGATATAAAGGAACAACAGGTAAACTGTTAGAAGTTCTAGTTAAGGGGTGAATCTACAACAAAGATTACTGGAAAAATCAAAACTAACACAACATGCTTATGAAAAGGGCCATCAGATAAAGTAAAGTCCATTCAGAAATAATTAAATACTTATATAGGGAATACAAGGTTCACTTCGAGTATCAAGTCTTGTCTTACAATGACTTACTAACATTTTTCTAAGAATTAAGTCACATATACCAGTTGATATTATTCTGACTTCCTTGGTCAATTTCTTATTTGTTGAATTCTGACCTATTTCAGTTCTTCCCTTCCTGTTTTATTTCTAGAAGCCATATTTAATATTATTCCAAAGCACATATTTGGACTTTGAATGCCCCTGTAATTTCAACAGTGAAGATTATCTATTGTCTCTTGCTGATAAAAGTCCTTCCAATATATAAGCCAGAGAATCCAGTGCTCTGGGTCCACATACCAGGAATGGCTCGGTCTGCCTCATGCAACAGAATAGCTGTGTCCACCCCTTATTAACTGATGATGAAGATCCTCCAAAACATAGTGATTTTAAAGACCTTTGAAAACCAGACAATGTATAAAGTTCAGAACAAAGAAAGTTGCAATAAAACACGATACCCAAAGACATTCAGCGATGAACTAGCAGGTATTTGGCAAGAGAAAAATGTAGTTTTATAAAGATCTTTAATGAAGCTGACATTATCTTGAACTGTGTTACATGTTGATTTCATTACATTTTCAAATGCAAAACCCAACTTACTTCAGCTCGTCGTGTCTGTGCCTGGAAGAATACGGCCTCTCTGTGATTGCACTTTGGGCAAGGATGATCCTCACTCCGAGGCAAGGTGGGATCAGAGATTACATCTGACACAATATGTGTCAATTCACTATAAAATGAAGAGATACTGAGTTAGATAAATTTACTGTATCAATTTATTATTTATATATATTTATTCTTTGGTTTTGACTATATGGAAGGGACCTTCTTACTTTGTATGTTTACTTCATATTTGAAGTAACATACACTTTCTGTACTCTTGCATGCAACAAAGCAATTTTCCTTGTCTGGAAAATTACTTGCATAGTACTTTCCCCAAATTTCTGATAGGGTATGTACCATTCAAAACATAAAATGGGGTGTTTATTACTCAACACATTACACATTATGTATGCCCATAAACTTTACTAGCTGTTTAAAAGAGGGATAGGTTAGTTTGATATAGTTCATGCTAATTTCCTTTAATTGGAAAAAATTAAAGGTGTATTTTGTGTCATGAGGTAGGGATAAATACCCTTTTCTACAAATCTATGTCCTTTCTATATCAGTGTACTAGCCAAGTTCTGTGCTCATTATTCCTTGTGTATGACTACCAAAAATTATGTATAAATGACATTTGTAAAACACCTAGAATTACTATGCAACTGAAATAAAATTTAAACTTGAATTGAGAGACAAGATATATTTCTTGTGTGGGCACCAAGGATGCCCACCACAAAAAACAGCTGAGGTCTGTTCATGAGGCCTCCCAGAATTTTATGTACAGTATAAACCATTCTGTGGTTTTCTGAGTTGTGACACTGTGTAGCCTTGAAAGTAATTTGTAGAAATGCTGGTAAGATGACTGCACTGAGTCACAACATGGACGACCACCATCAATATCTACACAGCTATGGAAACTTCAAATCCTGTATGTCTATGATCTACTTACTCAATTTCGTGCATAATTTTGTTGACATAAATGCAATTGCTGTCAGCTAGCTGTTTATATTCACAATTCCGACACTGAAATATGAAAAAGAAATTTACAATTGGCAAAATGAAATGTACTGAAAATTAATAACAAATTACTGCTAACAATTACACATTACCGAGATTTGTAAAATCCCAAGGTAAGAAAGAATTCGTCTTCACAATTTTATACAACACTTACCGCATACAGCAGCACTTTATTTTCTTTATCCTCCTTCGGATACAACATATTATTGCTGTAATAAAAACATTATTTCAACTTAAAATAATCACAACTGACCACTGCTATCAACAATGACAAATATAGTAACGTGGGATAACAAACCATTCCTGGCAAAATCGAATACCAACAAATCCAGGCCCATCATTATGTGCATCAAAGCCAGGTGTTTTAGACATGGCTTGCGTTTTCTAATGTAATGTATCAACCAACTTTTCACTAACTTTGTAGGTTATAGCATCCACACATGATACCAACACAGCTCTTAAAATATGTTGAGGCATAATTTTAGCCAATAGAAGCTCAAGTTTTAAGGATCGCCACACGCTTGAATTGAAAATTCTCTAAACAGATTCCATGTTCAAACAGAGTAATACAAATTACGGAAGGTTTGGATTTCAATTGAAAGCCACAGATTTGTTGGAATTCATCTTTGTAGGGTAACTTGTAAGTTTGTGTTCGTACTCTAATATGTTACTCTAATGTCGTATGCGAGTAAGCACAGAGTAAATAAAAAGAATCAAGAATTGTGCAATTTCGTCTTTTTGGAGATGAACCGTGTAGAATGTTAAAAGCTTTTCGGCAAAAACTGCAACTCCACTACAAGCCTGAAGATGACAATGACGTCTAGACTTGCAATTTATTTACATCCCATTAAGCCTTCATAGCACAAGCCAAGCAAACAATAGTGGGCTCAAAAAACTTAACTAGCTGGATCTTGCTGTACGCGCCGTTTGTCTGGGTATCTGTTTTGATATGATGGTACGCTTACCATAATTTGTATGTACTTAGCCTAATTGTGTGCTAGTATGTTTCCAATGTTCACATGTAGATTGGTTGTTACAGATATTCAAATTATACAGAACAAGATGATTATAACAAGTAACTATTGGCACAATAAATTTTTACATATGAGAACTGTCGATCAAAAATAAATTCTTCTGCTTGTTAGAAAGAGTGAGTGAACTAGGGTATAACATTTTAATGCTAGATTAAATACGTTTATGTCGTGACAATAATTGTTGGACTATATCAGTGAGGGAAATTATGTTCTATTCACTACCTGTGATTTTACTTGCAAGATGGCTGCCGTTGTTGGTGCG